GAGTGCTTTGGCATCAAGTACAACACCGACTATCCTGGCAGCGACATTGCCAACTTCAAGGCGACGGGCGACTACAACAGTATGCTCGGTCAGTGCTGCGACGCGTGCAAGAAGCTCCTGGACTGCAGCGCGTACGTCTTGTTTGAAGACGTCTGCTACATCAAGTCTGCGTCCACCGAGCCGGTGGCCAAGAACGGCGCGACGGCGACCATTGTCACGACGACGACGATTCCGGCATGAACATCGCCGTCTCCAGCGAGCGTTTTTTGTTTAAACGTAAATGGACCTCATTTTGACGGGATAATGTTCGACAACAGCACTGAAGCATGCATCGGGCGACGGCTTTGCGCCCAACTTCGGAGCCTACGGATTGAGCGCGATCCCACACTGGCTCCCGAGCTCGTGCACGGTGCTTCGCAGCTGCGACCGTGACCGGCCACGTGGTCATCGTCAGCACATTTCTGTCGTTTGAGTCACAGACTGTCAACGGCGCCAACGTTGGTAACGTTGTTGCCGTCCAACTCGGTGCGTAGAAGGTCCTCCCGAGACACTGTCGAGGGAAGCTGCAGCTGATTAGATCACGTCACACGGACAAAACTAGATTTTTGAGAAAAGAAATGCGACCAGTTGTCTAGTTGAGAAGATGCTTTCGCTACAATCTGGCCACACCGTTGGCATCAGCAAGGTCCTTTACATCCGCGTCGGCGTAGTCGGAGTCGATGTCGACGTATTGGTCAGCGACGAGAGGATACCGGGAAACGCCTCGTCGGGCCGCTTGAGGTAGCAGACACTGTAGAGGACCACGGACGACTCGCACGGCAAGTTCTTGTTACACGCGTCCCGGCATGCGGCGAGCTGCTCAGCCTCGGAGCCACTGACAGGAATAACGTTGGAGACGGCGCTGGCGGCGATGGTCACGGCCATCGCGGCCACGAGCGCGGTCGTCTTGAACAGTTGCATGGTAGTCGTGGGGAGGGGAATTGAGGAATGACCAGGTGATACA